GGACAGGCAGCAGGGCAGTGGTGGAGCGCAGACGAGGCCGTCCACACATCCAACACGGAGCTAAGCAGGGCATGACCTACTCACATCACCATTGAACCCTGCAGACTGTTGGTTCCCACCACCCACTGAGCAAAGGAGTCGCTCCGACGACCATCCTTCATCACCCATAGGCAACACAGACATCCAGAACCGAGCGGCCCCCATAAGAGTGCAGTAGGCACTCCAAACAAGACCACCGACTGTTTGGCACTACTTAAGGGTGCTCAGTTGGGCACACCAAAAGACTTTAAAAAATCAGAGGGACGACAGACAACAGAAGAAAGACTGACAGACATGTGTATGTGTGTGTGTGTGTGTGTGTGTGTGTGTGTGTGTGTTACCTTACGTTACCCACGACGCATTACGTCAGGAACCCCACAGTAAGCTGTGGTACGTCTGTTCAGCCCATAGGATTTCAATGCAACCCGGTCTTATATGTATCCCTCTCTTGCCAAAGCAACCTTCAATGGTTATACGTCATTCATACCCTCGTATCCATAAAGATGAAAAAAATCCAGAATTCAAATAAGATAAATTCCATTCGTAGGGTTGGAGCTAGGACACAGTTCCTTGTTGGATAATAATGATAAGGAAGGCATAGAATGCAAAAGTCAGCAGTGAGTAGACCATGCATTTGAGGGAGCAGTGAAAAAAGACAGTCGGAGGCCGAGATCTGTTGCGACTGGTGGCTCTTAGAGTGTTGATCTCACAATTGAGTGCCAGGTTGGCTCTCATAAGATATTGTAAAGCTACCTGGTCTCATTCCCTGCGTCCGATCATGGCGCCCTCAGCCAGGTTCAGGATTGCACGGTGGCCATTGTAGATCTCAGAAGATGGAGGCCGTCCAATGTTTTATTTCTTCAGTGTCATCATCAGAGGGGGGCTCATAATGATAATCTGGGTTGATGGATGGGGGATCACCTCTTCGAATGAGGACGTCCATGAGCAAGGCAATGCATTTCTCAATTGTAACAATCCTATCTCGGAGCATTTCTATACCACTAGGGGGAGTGTCGATGTCGGCCGCCACTCTGTTTTGGAGTCAGTTACTGTGACGCAAAAGGGATTTCGATTCCCTGGGTCTGTCACCAGGTAGGGCGAGGTGATCTGAGATCTGTGAGCCTCATGCGTCGACAGCGTCCGGTAGGTCAAAGGAATCATATCATTAACTCCTATTGTTATCATTTTATCCTCATGATGCCAATGGCGATTGATTGATGGGATGCAATTCCCTACATCGTGAGTAATTATTTGTACGAAAGGATCTGTGTACAGGAATCATCCTTCTCATGATCCTGCTTTCAGTCAAGAATCTCGGTGATGTCTATCAGGCAGATAATAATGGTTATATCACCTATACATGCCGTGCAGATCAGTACAACCGGAGTTTGGATATTATGCTTTGGGAATCGCAGGTTGGTGGTGCTGATATGCGGGGGAACGACGGGGGGATATTCAAACCATGGGACCGAGCACAAGATATTCTCATGGCTGTGCAGGTAATGCCGTCATGAGGAGTACGAGATCATGGTCCTATCAATCAGTCCTTCATGGGCTCATTAAGTCCAATCCTGCAGCGGGCCTTCATCTGCCCTGGCCTACAGCCAGGGCCTATTTGGATATTTGCCAGTTCGGCCTGTGGGACCAGGCCGTGGCCTGACCCCACAGGCTGTGCACTGTTTCAGTCCAGTCCCGTTCTGCCCGGTACCACTGTCGGGACCAGGCCAGTCCAGTCCAGTCAGTCAGTCCGCTGGGGGTATACCCCAGCTGTTGTCTGTTTTTTGCTCATTCTTCATTTTTGCACTGTTGGAGTACGTGCGGTGTTGAGTCTGCGTCGGAGCTGCGCTGTCCCTTCCAGCTCCTTCTTCACTTCCTCCTTCCTCAACCCCTTCTTCTCCATCCTGTCGGACCGCCATCCCGGCGTCCGGCACACTGGTATGAGAGCGGGAACGGTCCCCGCTCCCACCCGCCATGGAGAGAGGACACATGGCGAAAAAGGGATAGGACCATCACGACGCATGTGCGGAAGCGTCAACGACAAGGCCACCGCTCGCGCGCGCGTGCCACGCGCCCACGCTGCCCTGCCCCACCCCGCTCCCAGATATATATTTTCAAGATCCGGGAGTGCTGCAGCTGCCAGGGTTTGAACCTGGGCAGCTGCTGCTCATGAGCATGCGTGGCCAATGCGTTAACACACTGGCCAAAGCCACAGTATGGATTGATATTGTGGCTTGTTGCCGTTGAAGAGCTGGCACAGCAGCTATTTGTGGCTGGTTGCTGTTGAAGAGCTGGCACAGCAGCTATTTACCCCCCCCCCGTCGGCGAGCAGCGAGCAGCGTGCGGCAGAGCTATTTGCCGCCCCCCCCCCCCTCTCCCCCCGCCATGGCTGCTGCTGCCTGCGGACGTGGCAATCTGCTGTGCCACGTGGACACCTGCTGAAACCTCCCCTGGCTAGGGGACTGCACCACGTACATATATGTTGTCACATACATATATATATTGTCACATCACTACAAACTAAAAGACACACTTTGCGGAACAAAGAATAAAAGCAAAAAACGGGCACAGTGATAACATGCAAAAATAAAAAGAAAAACAAAAACAAAAAGAAAAAACAAGGGCAAATTGAAACCATTAAATTTCTCATTCTTCTTTGAACTCCACCTCCACTGTGCCTCTCACGTGCAAGGCTATATATATATCGTCAAATAGAATATATATAAACTCCGACGAAACAGTTTGTCACAGCCCCTCGTTTGTTGTCCTCTTCTCCCTCTCTGCCTACGGTTTACCGGGCAGTTCTATTTGACGATATATATATATTTTATACTACTTCACTGTTGCAGCAGCAGTTTGGCAACAGTTCAAGATCCTCCCCCCGGCTAGGGGGCTGTGTGACTGTGGCAGTAGGGTGGCTCATCAAGATCTCAGCCAACCCTGGATCATCATCATCTTTTTACTGCTGTGGTATCACACCAGCAGCATCCTGAAGGCCAAGATCCTGTGGATCTTGGTAGAACTCTGCTCTTGGCCACCCAAGAGGATCTTCGTAGAACTCTGCTCTTGGCCACCCAAGAGCCTGGTATCACCATCCTACCACTAACCCACTCTCTCCCAACCTCTTTTCTCTTTCCCCCCCCATCATCTAATAATCTTTTCCCCTCCCCTACCTGTGGCATACTGTGTAGCCACACGGCCTGCAGGGCCCGTTCCGCATTCTCAGCCTAAAAGCCTAGAAATAAGAGCTTACAGGCCCCCTGTCGTTTCAGCCTGAAAACTGAAAACGAGGGCCTGCAGGCCCTATTTCGTTTTCAGCCTATAACAGGGCCGTTCAGGCCCTGAGTCTTTTCAGCCTGAAACGGAGGGCCACTTTCGGGCCCTCATAAGATCGTCCTGCCCTAGAACTCAGGCAACAAACCAGGGTTTTGGGAACAGGCTATTTTTGGCCTGTTCCCCACGCCAGCCTCAGCAGGAGCTGCAGCGCCAGCCCCTGGCTTGCCCTGGCATTGGCAAGAGCAGCCTCCTGGACTGCCTCGCCCTGCAGCTGCAGGCAGTCAGGAGGCAGGCCGAGTAGTACATAGGGAGTTCCCATGCACTTCACGGGTAGGGAGTTGGACAGAAGGTAGGAGGCAGTCTTCAGGATTCCGCAGCAGCACTCTGGAGGAGCGCAGCAGGAGTAGCTTAGCGCTAGCAGTAGTCTTCAGCACTGGGCGCTAGTAGCTGCAGGAGTAGTCTGCAGCGCAGGGCGCTAACTCATGGTAGTGGTAGCAGTGTTGGAGAGAGATGGCTGGCGGAGGCCAGTAAGACTTACCTGTGGCGCCATAGCTCCAGCTCCATCTTCGAGGTACCTGCATCAAGGCGCCAGCTTCACAGGTTAGTACCGGACTGAGAGAGAGAGAGAGAGAGAGAGAGAGTTCTTCTTCTTCCTCTTCTAAGTTTACCATCTCTTCTTCACCCTCTCCCTATCTGACTTCTCAGTATCTGCAGACTACGAGAGAGAGAGAGAGAGCGAGATTGTGACTTGAGACTTGACAACATTGGATCCAGACTCGACATTGGGATTTAGACATTTTGACGAGGGACTATTTGGGCCTGTGCGGAAGACTTGGTGTTGACGACATTCCCATCTNGAAGACTTGGTGTTGACGACATTCCCATCTTCCCCTCTTCTTCGTCTAACCCCCCTCTTCTTCGTCTGTGTATGGTTGGGGCTGGCGCATTCTTCCTGTGTGAGCGCCAGACCCCTTCACACCATGGAGTGATGATGATGACGTATGTTCGGGGCTGCATTGCAATATTGATTGTTCGGATCATTGGTATCTAAGTCTTCCGCTACGCTATCTTGTACTTTGTCTGAGGGGTCGGTTCTTGTTCTGGTCTGCACCGTTACAGTATGCAACAGTTTGGTATCGGAGCGGACCTCTCAATCAGAGGACCCGCTCAATCAAGTAGCCAGCTTGCTTGAGCTATTGATTACTCATTAGTAAATCAAATAGGACTTCGTCAAATCTCTGGAAAAAAAAAATTCTCGCAGCAAATATCTGAAAATTTCTGATAATCGCATTTCGTTTTACCTGAAATTTTATGATATTAGTATTTCGTTTTCACGGAACAAATATCTGAAAATTTCTGATAACGCATTTCTTTTTATCTGAAAATTCCTGAAAGTAGCATTTCGTTTCTCTGATATTCGCATACATAGCCGAAAATTTCTGATGTTAACATTCCGTTTTCAAGGCATATTAGGATAACGATAGAAGTGGTCATATTCTCGGAAACCGAAATCTTGCGAAGCCTACCAGCATTTCGTTAGGCATATTAGGAGGTTGCCATATTCTCAGAAACTGAATTTAGTTCTTTTCTGAAAAACGCATCTCTACTCTATTTCGCAATTTTTTTTATTTTTTTTCAAGATCGCATTTTGTGAAAGTCGAAACTTTGCGGAACCTGGCCTAGATCTCGCTCATATTACTCTTCTGACATGCCTCACTCATAGCAGATCGACAGACTTACAAAAAAAAAAAAAAGGGGGTAATCATCTTCTTTTATTTTTTTATTTATTTTAGTCTGTTGATTAGGACTGGGAGGAAAGGATAGCTGGGTTGGTTACCTACCTGCATTTCCCTCCCACCCACCCCTTTGCATGCATTCCCAGATTGGTACAGTGCCACGTCAGCAACAGTGCCATGTCAGCAACAGTGCCATGTCAGCAGTACTACATCAGCAGTGCCACAGTGCCACGTCAGCAGTGCCCCGCCACCATGACGGGCTCAGCTCTGGGAATGCAGGCCGATTGGCCAATGAGTCCATTGCCGAGTACCGGCAACGTTTCGAAGCTCAGCTCGCACTAATCGAGGCTGAGGAACAGTGCCAGCTGGCAGCCGAGGCTGTCCGCCTACAGGCTGAAGCGGCGGCAACAGTTGAAAAGCAGCGAACTCAAGCCGAAGCTGAAGCAGATACCCAGGCACGCCGCAAGGAGGCCCGGGATCTGTTACAGCGGCATGAAGCCACCAGCATTAAAAAGCTCAAGTTTTGGCATTTTGAACCATCTGAGAAGCACGACGACTCGACACCGGAGGAGCAGCATAATGAATTCATGGCCAAACTCGTGACCACGTTAGTTTACACTTGACCACCTGCAGTCCGAGCTGGCGAACCTCCAGCGGGCCGTGCGGAACCACAAGGCTCAGCACGAGGATGCAGCACGGGCACTTGATTCCCGTGTACAGGACTCGGAGCAAACTGCACCAAGAACAGAGGCTGGCGAGTCCAGCAGTGCACACTCTGCCCGCCAATTGGAGGAACGAGTCGATCACATAGTGGCAACGCTAGGTGATCTCAGCACCTTCGCAGCACCAGCCACCATTAGCCAGCAGCTGGACACACTGAAGACCAAGATCAGGCAGCGACAACAGCCGTTCGACCCCGATTGCAGCACCAGCACGGCGAAGCATTACAAGATGCCGACGTTCCGGATCGAGAAGTTTGATGACTACACACATCAAGACCAGGTCGTCTGGTGGCAAGGATTCACAACGGAGTTGCGGATTCATGAGGTCCCCGAACATCTCTTCATCGGCGCACTGTTCCTTAACGCCAAGCGAGGATGCCAGATCTCGCTGAGCCATATGGCAACCGTCCACGGCGTCCAAGTCTTCGACCTACACAAGAAGGTCTCCTGGGAGGATCTGACAAAAGAATGGAAGAAGCGGTTCATCCTTGACGACGCCCCGACGCTCGCCATCAACCGCATCTTCACGATCGCTCAAGGAAACACAATGACACGTGATTGGCTCAAGGATTGGCAGAAAATCGTGGCGACGCCCAATCTGGACTTGCCATTTCCGCACCTGCGCCAGGAGTTCTACAACCGGTCCTGCGCTGCTTTGAGCCTCGCGCTTCGTGATCACAAGCAGTACAACACCTTCGCCGAACTCATCAACAAGGCGAGGGAGATCATCAAGACAACCAGGGTGGCTGCACACGAGAAGTTAACGTGGCAGCCAACCTATGTGGAAAAGGTGAGAACTGGTCTGAGGCCGCAGCATGTCGCTGCAGTCCAAACGGACAACATTGTGGAAGACCCGGCAGCCACCCAAGCGTCAAGTGAGGGAGATCAGGTGGCTGATGTCCGAGGAAACGGGAAGGCGAAAACCGCATCGCCGGCCGGAAACGGACAGCCAGCACCATGGGTCAAGTTTCACTTGACCGAGGCGGAATACAAGTGGCGCGGCCGCTACGGCTGCTGCTATTGGTGCAACAGCACCAAGCACAAGACCTCCCAATGCCCGGATCAAGGCAAGGAGGATGTTCGGCCTCACATCAACTCGGGAAACTGAGTTGCGCGGGAGGTGAGGCGACTCCACCTCTCACTCCGCCAAATTCGGCTGCCTTGCTAGCGGCCTCCTACACATCTGGGGAGGATGCGAATGTCGCAAGTTCTCGTCACACTTACGAGGACTATGCTGTCCACTTGGTCCCACCGTTGGACCACCCGCTCCACGTGCAACAATCTACTGCATGCACGGTTTCACCACCATCGGCAACCGATTCGGCAGCTTCGCCGCCACCCATCGCCGAGGATTCAACGTCATGGTCAAGACGTGAAGAGCTCGACCCGTTGACGTTCGCGGACTTCCAGTGGATGCCAGTTCCCCCGACCGGTCGATTGCCGAAACCGCATTGCAACGTGCTCATGGCACAATTGCGGGATTACTTGCACACTGCAGTACCAACTCCGTTGATGGACGCCGGAGTAGAGGTTGTCGACCTTCACAATTACATTGCAAAGATCGACCGCGAGTTCAAGACACAACGGTACGACAGCATCGACGCTACATTGTTATATGTACGAATTCAGATCGGGGAGGCGACCTGCAGCGCTTCGATCGATTGCGGAGCATCTTGCAACTACATGAGCCATAACTTTATGGTACGCGCCGGCCTTGGCCCACGCGTCCGGAGGAAGTCCCAGCCTACACAAGTCACGTTGGCAGACGGTCACACGCACAAGTCAATCGACCGGTGCATAGATGACATCCCCGTGTACTTTGCCCCGCATGCAAGCGAGGCGRTGTCCTTSGATATTTTGGACACCAAATTCGACATGATCTTGGGCATGTCATGGCTGCGAAGCGAGGATCACGTGGTGAACTTCTACCGCCGCACCATTCACGTTCGTGATCGGAACGGAGTACGAGTCCCATGCACGGTGCCTCCTCCTCACCCTTCGATCAGCTGCCACGTAGTGTCCGCCGCAAGCATGCGAGCTTCCATCATCAGAGACGACATCGAGGAGATGGGGGTGTGTTTTCTCAACGCCCTCCCGCCCCATGATGCTTCATTGACGGACTCACTTCGGACCTATGCATCACCAAGCTTCTCGACGCCTACGACGACGTGTTCGAAGGCCCGCACAGAGTAGTACCGGATCGGCCCATCCGCCACGAGATCATCCTCGAGGACGGGGTTATACCTCCGCGTGGTTGCATCTACCGAATGAGCGAGGAAGAGCTAAGTGTGCTACGGCCACAACTCGACGACATTCTTGAGAAAGGCTAGATTCGGCCTAGCTCCTCGCCATACGGTGCTCCCGTTCTCTTCGTCCGGAAGAAGAACAAGGATTTGCGGTTGTGCATTGATTATCGCAAGCTCAACGCGCAAACGGTCAAGAACGTCGGCCCTCTTCCGCGCATCGACGACCTTCTCGAACGGCTGGGCGGCGCCAAGTTCTTCTCCAAGCTCGACCTCAAGTCGGGATATCACCAACTCGAGATCCGACAGGAGGACCACTACAAGACCGCGTTTAAGACGCGATATGGGCATTTCGAATGGGTTGTTATGCCGTTTGGCCTTACGAATGCCCCAGCCACTTTCCAAGCGGCTATGACAACGGAGTTCCGACACATGTTGGATCGATTCGTACTTATCTACCTCGACGACATTTTGGTGTACAGTCGGAGTTTGGACGAGCATGTGGAGCACCTGCGCACCGTTTTGGAGCAGCTACGACAAGCCAAGTACAAAGCCAACCGCGACAAATGCGAATTCGCGCGGCAGGAGCTGGAGTACTTGGGACATTATGTGACACCGCAAGGCATTCGTCCGCTTGCGGACAAGATCGAGGCCATCCGCGTATGGCCTGAGCCCACCAACACCACGGACATTCGTTCATTCATGGGGTTGGCAGGCTACTATCAGCGATTCATCACCGGGTACTCAAGGATTGTTGCACCTATGACGAGATTACAATCGCGAAAGGTGCCATTCGTGTTCGATGATGACGGACGCCGATCATTCCAAGCACTCAAGACGGCCATGCTCATGGCACCCGTCCTTAGCATCCACGACCCCACCCTGCCAACGAGAGTGACAATTGACACTTCCGGCTATGGCATTGGCGCAGTCTTGGAACAACACGACGGCGACGACTGGCACCCTATGGAGTTTTTCACCCACAAAGTGCCTCCCATCAATTCGCTTGACGATGCAAGGAAGAAGGAGCTGCCTGCGTTCGTGATGGCTGGCGACACTTCCTCCTTGGGCGTCGTAGGTTCACATGGGTCACGGACAACAACCCATTAACCTACTACAAGACGCAGGATACGGTGAGCAGCACGATCGGATGATGGATGTACTTCATCGACCAATTTGACTTCACATCGAAACATCTCCCCGACCTCTCCAATCGCGAACCAGATGCACTCTCGCGAAGACCTGATCTTTGCGCTATGACACATCATGCTTTCGCGTTTGACGAGGAACTCCAGCGACACTTCATCCGACCTATGAGTCTGATCTGGACTTCGCCACGTTGTATGCGCAGCTATTTTCGGATCACTCGCCGGCCAGCCACTATCGCATTGCCGACCGATACTTGCTCCTCCACTCGAGAGGCAAGGACTTATTGTATGTCCCACGAGACCGTCGTCTTCGGACTCGCCTTCTCCGGGAGTACCATGACTCGCGACTCGTCGGCCATTTCGGAGTCAACCGCACTAGTAGCTGCAGGAGTAGTCTGCAGCGCAGGGCGCTAACTCATGGTTGGGGTTAGAAGTGTTGGAGAGAGATGGCTGGAGGAGGCCAGTGAGACTTACCTATGGCGCCATAGCTCCACCTCAATCTTCGAGGTACCTGCATCAAGGGGCCAGCTTCACAGGTTAGTAGCGGACTGAGAGAGAGAGAGAGAGAGAGAGAGAGAGAGAGAGAGAGAGAGAGAGAGAGTTCTTCTTCTTCCTCATTAGTCCACCATCTCTTCTTCACCCTCTCCCTATCTGACTTCTCAGTATCTACAGACTACGAGAGAGAGAGAGAGCGAGTGTTGTGACTTGAGACTTGACGACATTGGATCCAGACTCGACATTGGGATTTAGACATTTTGACGAGGGACTATTTGGGCCTGTGCGGAAGACTTGGTGTTGACGACATTCCCATCTTCCCCTCTTCTTCGTCTAACCCCCCTCTTCTTCGTCTGAATATGGTTGGGGCTGGCGGATTCTTCCTGTGTGAGCGCCAGACCCCTTCACACCATGGAGTGATGGTGATGATGTATGTTCGGGGCTGCATTGCAATATTGATTGTTCAGATCATTGGTATCTAAGTCTTTCGCTACGCTATCTTGTACTTTGTCCGAGGGGTCGGTTCTTGTTCTGGTCTGCACCGTTACAATATGCAACAGTTTGGTATCGGAGCGGACCTCTCAATCAGAGGACCCGCTCAATCAAGTAGCCAGCTTGCTTGAGCTATTGATTACTTGCACCGTTACAAATCTCTGGAAAAACAAAATTCTCGCAACAAATATCTGAAAATTTCTGATAATCGCATTTCGTTTTAGCTGAAAATTTATGATACACGACTACCCACTCCGCTCTCGCGTTCCCCTCCCTCTCACCAGTGGTCCCCTATCCCCATACCATAACCCCTCTTTCCCCCCACCTCCACCATGTCTACCTCTCTTCCTCCACCGCCCACGGACAGGGCTACATCTGAGGAGCTCGTCGCGGCGCCGTCCACCTCTCAGGCGCCCACCCACCCAACGGTCGAGGAACAGCACGTTGTGGACCCCACAGACCTCCGCGCTGTTCTTGCGTCTCTCCTTGCACCTCTGCAAGCACGACTCAATGCGCTTGCACCCTTGGAGAGGCAAGTAAACGCACTCGCCCTTGAATTTCACCACCTCAAGGGCTCTCCTCATCGCTCGCCCCACCACTCGCAGACCCCATCCCCTACCGGCTCGGAGTCCGGCTCTCCACAACTCCAGGGATGGAGACAGGGCGGTTCATCCTCCTCCGCGGGCCAGGCCCAACACTCCCCCTCCGCAGTGGTGAGTGCTGCTGCCGCTTAGACCGTACCGTCTGTTGTGGCACATCCAGTGGCCCCTGGCGCTCCCGCCACCCCGACCGCTTCGGCCACTGCCGCATGTTGTCGCCCAGATACCGGTATCTGGCCAGGCAGTTTCATCTACCCACCCTGGTGCTGCTTTCCAGCTTCCTGCACCGGTCGCAGCACTACGGCTCAGAGTTCTTCCTCCTCCCGCTAGGGTACTCTCTCCGCCCCCTCCACCCCCAACCCCGCGCACACAACGGGTGGCTACCCTACAGGCCACTGTGGCCCAGCTCCAGGCGGAGATTCTCTCCCTGAGACAGCCTCACCCATCACAGGCTGCTCACCCTTCTTCTTCTTATACCACCCCTCCCACCGCTGTCTTGCCGGTCGAGGGGCTCCCCTCGACTGGCTCACCCCTCTCTACCCTACTAGTTCGCTACTCCGTCAAAGTTGGCTGCAGTTGTTGCCTCCACGTCTGTTGGACCTTCCACCAGCAGCCCCGGCTCTCAGCCTGCTAGCACTTCCACGTTTGCACCGGCCTTGGCATTTGTCGCCGCAGCGAAGGCCCCTCGACCTCTCTTCCCTCGTCGTCAGCACAGTGGTCCCACCCTTGTGCGTATGTCGGACATACCCGACTTCGATGGTACTATGCGTGTGTCGCACTGGTTGCACGCTGCCACACGCGCGCTGACACTGACTAACACTGGTCAGGAGTTATGGTGCTCCGCACTCGCAACTAAATTGCGTGGGAGCGCGTTCTCCGCATGGGAGAACTATTATACCCATCGTACTCGCTCAGGTGAGGCTCCCACTCTCGTGGATTTCACCGCGTTCCTCCATGACCGCTACGGCACTCTCCACGATGCCACGATCGGGTCACCCAGGCGCAGTGGCGCGGTCCTCCGCAACAGCCGATCTTGAGCGGCACGTTAGAGTCTTTCAGGACGCCCGCCTCATCGCACTCCTACCTGAGGTCCTTTTGACCAACAGGTTCGTAGTCTGTCTTCCGACTGACTACCGCATTGAGCTCTGGCGACAGAGCTTCGCCTCCTCCGAGCAGGCCTACGAGGCTGCTCGACAGTACCAGAAGATGCGCAGTCGCTTCTTTGTCGCTCCATCTTCTTCGTGATCCACCGCCGCCGCCACGCATTCACGCGGCACCACGCGCGGTCAATCCTCCTTGGCCGGTTGGTTTCGCCAACCAGCTCGACCTAGCGCGCCATTCTCTCAGCGCTACAATTCTCTGGAGTACGGCGAGGATGCGTCGGCAAAGCTTGACCCTACCTTTGGGGACGCCCCCGAGGACATCGAGCTCCGAGACGTCATCCAGTATCACTTGGATGACGACACTGTTCCCATTGGCCGAGCGCCTGCTGATGGCCATGTCTGGCATGGTTCGTGCGCACAGTTGGGTTGCAGAGGCTGGCGCCTCCACACCCACAGTTCCTCAGATAGACCTCCCGCAGGGTTTTGTCCCTCCTCGCGGAGCTCTATCCCCGAAGGAGCGTACAGCCCTTGAGGCCCGTTGCAGCTGCCTTCGTTGCCGCCAGGATGGACACACCTCCTCACAGTGTCCATACCATACCGCCCTCGATCAGCACTATGTTGACATCTCTCGTCAGCATCGATCTCAGTCCCCCCCGGCCCCGCCCGGCCAGCCCCACCCAGCTAGCAACGGTGCAATGTACCACTCAGGCCTCACACGTAGCCGGCTTCCCGACCACCGAGTCGCGGTTTGCCCTTTTGGCTACCCCACCAAAGGCTCCTCAGGACACGACAGACGCAGTTCCCTCTGCCCCGTCGTTTGTCGAGGTACCGTCTGCCTCACAGCAGACTGCCGCACCTAGTGCTTCCCCTCCGAGACTTCCGACGCGTCGCGCCATTCGCACAACCAGTTGTAACGCTCAGCTGGCGACTCGCGATGACGTTGTGTCATCTCTCCTGGACTTGAGCTTTCTTCAGGCTCGTCAGGAGCGACTCACGAGACACATCAACGTCCTATGTCATCTTCTCGCTCTGCTTTCTGACGCTGATCGCACCCTACCCATTATCCCTATTCGCCTAGGGACATCTACGAGGGTGTACCGCGCTTTATGGGACTCTGGCTCGCAGGGAGATTTCGTTCTTCCTTGAGTGGTTGAGGAAGCTCGCCTAGCTACCTCTGGGTCTCGCTCTCCTATCTCCGTTACCCTCGGAGATAACAAGACACAGCGCTTCTTCGATCAGACGGTCCCCGACCTTCACTTCTCCCTCACCCTCCAGCCACCGGATAGTACCCAGGTGCCTCGGCGCTACCATTCCTCTGCATACTTCGACGTGGACCCTCGTCCCTTTGGGTCCCACCCAGACACGCCTTCACTTCTCCTCATCAGTTTGCTCACTTCATACGACAGGAGGACGTCACTTTCTACTTTGTGAACGTCATGGATCTTCTTCGCTACGATACACTTTATCCCGAGATTGAGGTCATCTCACTAGAGCACGATCCTCCTGACCCTTCCTCCATCTTCGCGGCTCCCATCTCTACGTCCACCCGTCAGCCTGCGGATATCCCCTCCACATCCCAGGCCCCCGCGCCGTCGCCTGTCAAGTCCACACATACGTCTCGTGCCGACGCAGACATTGAGGAACTCACAAGGTTCACGGCAGACTTAGAGCCCGCCGTTCGCGACCTGATTTGAGAGTACCGCGACGTCTTCCCTCCGTATTATTCATACAGCCGGATCCCTCCGATGCGTGGTGTTGAGCATTCTATCCAGCTCGTGCCTGACTGTCGTGTTCACCATCAGTCACCGTACCGACTCTCGATTCAAGAGGCGACAGAACTCGAGCCTCAGCTTGAGGAGCTCCTTCGATCGGGTTTCACTAAACCCAATAACTCCCCTTGGGGTGCACCTGTCCTCTTTGCTCGCAAAGCGGACGGAACTCTCCGCCTTTGCATCGACTACCGCGGCGTTAACCGTTACACGATTAAGAACAACTCTCCCATGCCCCGCGCGGATGAGCTGTTTGACCGTCTGGCAGACAACCACTTCTTCACGAAGATCGATCTTCGTAGCGGTTATCACCAGATCCACGCCGCCGCAGAGGATCAGCCCAAGACCGCCTTCCGGTCGCGCTTCGTCCGCTACGAGCTCACGGTGATGCCATTCGGCCTCACCAATGCACCTGCCACCTTCCAAACAGCGATGAACAACATCTTCAGGGACATCCTTGAAAAATACGTTCTCGTATACCTGGACGACATCTTGGTCTACAGTCGTACCTTAGAAGACCATATCAGACACCTCCGCGATGTCCTACAACCCTTACGCAAGCACGGCTTCTATACCAAGCTTAGTAAGTGCCGCTTTGCCTAGAGGTCTTCCTAGGACACCATGTGTCTGACCAGGGTCTCCGCATGGACGACGAGAAGATCACTGTTATTGCAGAGTGGCCCGTCCCCACGTCAACCAAGCAGCTTCGCAGTTTCTTAGGCCTCACCAGCTACTATAGTAATAATATCCAAGGATACGCTAGGTATTCCTACGTCCTTACCTCCACCCTCCTCCGGAAGAACCCGCAGTGGTTTTGGACACCCCTCTACGAGGACGCCTTCCGCGCCCTCAAGAAGGCGGTGACTTGTGCGCCGGTTCTTCGCCTCCCAGATTTTGATCGCCCCTTCATCGTAACCACTGATGCGTCAGATTTTGCAGTAGGAGCAATACTTTCTCAGGTGTTTCCCTCTCCTCCAGATTCAACTTATCCCCATGTTCCTCCTTTCCCCCCCCCTCCTGCTGACACTGCTTCTCGTCTGACACTTCTCCTCCCACCACTTCCCTCCACCGACAGTGTAACGGGAGCGAGGCTGAGGGAGACAGGAAGAGCCGAGGGAGAGGGGAGAGGGAGAGAGAGAGAGTGAGAGCACACACACACACTCACTCACTCGACACGACTGAGGGTCGGACACAGACAAAGTGGCAAGGACACAAAGTCGAAGTCTTGGATTCCGAATGCCGAAAACAGCAAGTCACACTGAGTACGAGTACAGCAGCAGAGAACTGGTATGAGACTGGTCCCCGTACCATACAGGGAGCCGGTATAAGTACCGATGACACGTACGATACCAGGGGCATTTCTGCAAAGGCCCCGAGGGCAGAACTGAAAAATGCAGTATTTGAAAGTGGCGCCCAAATTGCAGCATGGCGCCAGTTGTCCAAAATCCTACGGTACCAAAGGAGGGGTTCGGAAAAAGGGTGCCAGGCCGAAAACGGGATGCAGCCAAAACAGCAAAAGATAGACCAGGGATCAAGCCCTCGCGAAGTCCGTAACACTATCCCCTCCCTCTAGAAGGCAACGTCCCGGCTGCCCAAAATCATGAAGCAATGTTGAAATCTGTGAAGGACGGGACGGGGCTGATCACAGGTTAACAAGTCGAAAGGGAAGAGGGGTATAATGTGGGTGGCATGGGCTGCGGGAGTAAGAGGGAACAGGGTTTGGTACCGGTGAACAGGGTTATCCTACTGATGAACTAGGGGGGGTTGCAAGGAACAAGGTAGTCCTACAAATGAACTAAAGGGAAGATAGGGAGCATGGTTGTCCTACTGATGAACTAAGGGGACTGCATGGTTCGCTATAGGTTAAGGGGGAACAGAGTTCAGGGAACAGGGAACTTCTATTGATGTTCTACTGGGTAAGGGAAACGGTGTTCAGGAAAACAGGGTATTTCTATTGATGTTGTAGTGGGTAAGGGAAACAATGGTCAGGGGAACAGGG